GGGCGCGCCGGGAGGGGTGCCGGGGCCGCCCCCGCTACTCCGCCCCCGGAGCCCGGCGCGGCGCTGGTGACCTTGGGACCGCCCCCGCCCCCGCATCCACCTCCGCGGGGCTGGTCGCCACCCGGTGTGCGCCGCCCGAGGCCTGGGACCGAACGGCCTTCCCCGCTGTCTGGAGGCCCTTCGTTGCGCCTTGCCATTTACACACGGGGACTGAAGGACTCCGGCGCTCTGCGCACCGGTCGCTGTGGATGCGAGTCCCCCACCCTTCAAGGCCGCCCCGCGGGTCCGGGAACTTAGGAGCCTCCGGCCGGCACACCTGGTCCTGGGCTGGGCCTGCCTTCCCTCTGCCTGCCGGCCGCCCGGCAGAAGGCGCCCATGGCGCGCGGGCCCCGGGTTGGGGAAGGGGGCGCCGGGAGGTCTGAGGGGGCCAGACTGCAGCTCGGCACTTGAGGCCCCACCAAGCTGCGCGTGCCCTGCCTCTGAAGCCGGAGCCTCAAAAGGCCTGCCCTCTCCCCAAGTAACACGGGCCCGTGCCTGCCCCCAGGACTTTCGGGGAACATTCTAGGTCTCGGCAGCGAGGGTCTTCCCAAGGCCTGCCCCAGAGTCCTGCTTCAGCTCCACTTCCTCGGAGCCCGAGGGAGCCACCGAATGCCTCCAGAACCTTCCGCTCGCCTGCTTCCCCCCCACCAGCCGGCTGTCCTGTGTGCGGGGCAGGCTGGGGGCCGAGCCGCTCCCTGCCCAGTGCTCCCCACAGGAACCCTGACCACGCGCGCGTGCACGCACACACACTCACACACACACACACCCCGAGTGCCACTCTGCTAGATGTGTTCTAGCTGTGTCATCTCGGGAAGGTTCCCGTCCTCACCCCTAGCTCGCTCCCTCAGCTCTAAAACTGGGGGGCGGGCGGGACAGCCCAGAGGGTGAACACTCTTGAGGCGCCCGGCACAGGGCTGGCGTCTGCAGGAGTGCTCAGGCTCCGGAGCTGCAGGAACCAGAGAGCCCAGAGTCTGTGGAATTGGAGATGTTACACAACCCCCTTCCAGAGCTCCAGGCCCAGGGGAGAAGGGATGTACTCGGAGCTGGGCCGGAAGCCAGGGCCTGGGCCTTTGTCCCTTCTCCTCCCTCGGGGGAAGGACACGCCCCCTCGGTACCTTGGAGGAAAACTGAGGCCTGAGGGGGCTAGGCCCAGGAGCCAGCCCTAGGCTCTGCGGGCTGCATCGGGGCTCTGTGGCCCCGGGAGTGCCCCCCACCCCCAACCCTGTGCTCCAGCCAGGCTGCTCAGTCTCTGAGTTCAGTGAGAAAAGAGGACGCCCCCAAGGGTTGGGGCCCTCCATAAAATAAACGCAGGAGTAGCCATTAGCCCCGGGGGAGCGTGGGGGGCGGGGGACAAAAATCAAAGCCTACTGAGGCTACGGCAGACACCTCTCCTCTTCCTTCCTCCCGAGAGGGAAAGACCCCTCACCGCAAACGAGAACCGACGACGCACGATGGCAGGAATGCCAAGGGAGTCCCGGAGCTCCCAGTGACACCCCGGGTCCAGCCTGGTCCTCCCCACACCATTGGCCAGAGGTTTGTCAGGGCCTCGCTGGGGTGCCCTGGTGCACCCCACGCTCCCCCTGCGTCCCCCAGCACCGCGCAGGACCCCAGCCTCTGCTCCCGCCGTCTGTCCCCGCTCCTAGCAGGAGCGGCCTGTTCTCACGCCCGGGGCTGCATGCGTAGCTACAGCCTTCCAAGCGCAAGCCACCGACCAGACCCCGAGACGGCCGACGGCACAGGCGACGCGCTCCGAGAGAGAGTCCCGCAGGCCGTTCCCGTCTGGAGACAGAGCCCGACTGCTTGTCCGTGACATTAGCCCGGCAGCTGCTCGGAAGAGCAGGCGTCTGTGGCCGGCCTCCCGGGTTCGGGTCGCGGCTGTGCTTCTCACGATTCAGGCCCCGGACACTGCCTCTGCTCTCGTGCACTGAGCAGAGTCGGGCAGGGGGGTGGGGGTGGGGGAGAGACCCGGAGCCCGGCTCTCTGCCTGGGAGGACCAGGCGGGGACAGCTCCCTGAGGCCTGGGGTGAGAGGAGTCGGGCTGGCTGGGGCCAGCAGTCTGGCAGGTTCCCAGCCGGTGCTGGAGAGTCTGCAGGGCGCCAGGCTGAGAGCTGCAGGCCACCTCCTGGGAGAATGGCCTCGAAGGGCTCCTGATGAGGACGCTAATTAGCTTATCAGCCTCTCAGAGGAGGTGGTGAGGGGCCGCTGCCCACTTTGCCTGCCCGGCAGCCTCGGGCCACGGAGGGCACAAGAAAACACCCACGCCCGCCCGCTTCAGAGAACCTCCCTTCGGGCCGGCAGTCCAGGAGGCCGGCAGCTGGTGGCGGATCCGGAAGGCGCCGGACCTGGAACCGGGGGGCTGGGGCTCATCCAGACCCCGCAGGGCCACGGTGCACGCCCCCTCAGCTGCGCCTCTCCCCGGCTCCGGCAGGCCCCTGTGGCCTGTATCAGGCTTGGGCTCCTGACATGCAGCACAGGGACGGGGACCGTCTTCCGGCTCCCTCTCACACATGGATAATAACCGCGCCCTGTGCGTTTTGTTTTAAGCTTTGCAGTAACCCTCAGCTCCACTGTGTAAATCTAGAAGCTGAAGCCCAGAGTAGAGAGAGAGGTGGCCCACCCAAGGCCCCAGCCCAGGCCAGGGAAAGAGGTTGCTCCGATGGTCAGCCAAGCCTGCCGTGCTGCCCTTCACACCAGCCAAGGACTGACATCGAGCAAGACGGGTGGTCCCTGACCCGAGCACCCCATCGGCATCTTAGGCACCCCCCGACCTGGGAAAGGCCAGGGAGTTCTCGGCCCTCCTGGCGGCGAAACCTCTAGGAGGCATGTTCTTACACCTCAACATCTGGGAGCCCTTGCCACATGTGACCGGAATCCTTCCGGCCTCGGGGACACCTGTTCTCATCTCTGCGACACGGGCAGGTCACTGCCTCCTCCTGCACACAGCGACCGCACTGGGAGACCGTTTGCTGCCTCTTGTCTGAGCTTCAGAAACTCGGAATACTGGGTCATGGAGCCAACCCCCCACCTCCCTGAGCCCAGGCCTGAGGAATCTGGGTCACTGACACCTGCCCCTCCCCTCATCAGGCCCAGGGTGACAGAAGGAGCTGGGGCAGTGGCACCTCCCAGGACCAGGAGGGCAGGGGGCCCAGGGGTTAGAGCAGGAGCCCCTCCCTGCCTGGCTTGAGGGGGTCGCTGGGCCCCTCGGATCGGGGCTCCCCTAAAACGTCTGTGTCTCCCCCATCAAAGCAGGGCTCCCAGGGCAGAGCCGCGCCTCCCTCGTCACACCACCAACGTGCTGCGAGGCCAGGCTGGTTATGGCCCGCATGGCCGCCGCGGCCACCGTGGCCATCGTGGCCACGGCCAGCTCCCAGCCCCCACAGCCAGGCCGTCCCTGACCCACAGCTTCCGTCCTCGGGGACCTTGTCCCATCACACACTCCACACTGCTCACGGCCTCGGGGTCCTGTTCGGCCTCCTCCTCTGGGAGGGCAGGCCCGGGCCCAGCCGCTCGGAACCGGCACGCAGTGGGGGTGGGACAGCCCTCTGCCCCTCTAAGCTCCCGCTGCCAGAGGTCAGCCTCCAGGCCCCGCCGCCTCCCTCCCACACCTGCAGCCGGCCACTCAGCAGACCCCACTGGCCTCCATGCAAAAGGCACCAAAGTCTGACCGCCGCTCGCCGCCGCCCCCCGAGGCACCACCCTGGTGGGACCCCCACCGAGTCTCCCGGCCACTGTGGCCGCTGCCCCCCACAGTGCCAGCGCCACGTCGTCCTCTGCTCAAGCTCCCCCAACCCCCTCCTCCCTCAAGGACCCCCACCCTCCCTGAGCTGACCCAGCACTCTGACCCTCCAGGGCTCCCCTCTGGCTACTTCTGGGAGCCGGACCCCAGCTCCCAGTGCAAACCCCCACCTCGTTTCATGCTTAGTTCAGTGGGGGGCCGCCACCTCATCCCTGCATCCCACGCCAGAGCGCCTCAGAGAAGACAGGCTGTCTCCCATCCGCCACGGGCCTGGTCCCCAGCCTGGCGCAGGCAGCACCCCCAAGGCACCTGCCCGGGGCCCCAGGGTGGGTGGGAGCCAAGGGGTGTCAGAGACCCTGGGCGGAGGCTCAGCCCACGAGGGGGGAATGGGGCAGCCGAGGCCGGTCCCCCCTTGGGCAGATCCCATCCTGGCCACTCGGAGCTGAGGTGCCCCTCCTGTGAAGTGGGCACAGATCCTCACCCGGCACCCTGTTCGGGGAGACACAGGGACACACGGCCCACAGGCCTGGCGCTCTCACGGTATATCGGGGGACGGTGATGGGGAGGGTGTGCCGAGAGCCCCCCCCCCCACCCCCGTCCACTGCTCCACCCACTGCTCCAACCAGGGCATTCGCTGCTGGTTCACGATGCCCCCTGCCAGCCCACGAAGCAGCTCTGTTACAGGACTGTGCCCAGCAGGGTCCCCTGGGGTGTGATGGGCTGATCCGCACCAGAGTGTAAATGACTCACGGGTGTCCTCCCACACAACAGGAAGAAGGGAAGAAGCCAGAGTGGCACAGCACAGCCGGATGGGGCAGCAGGGAGCAGGCAAAGCGTCTCTGCAGGTGGGGGCTTCTAGGGGCTCCTCAAGGCTTCTCAGCCTGGCCCTGGAGGTCCTCAACAGCCAGGCCTCGACCTGTGCTCCCCAAACCGACCATGCCAGGCACAGGCCCTGCTAAAGGATGCCTCACCCATCAGGAGGCCCACCTCCCACCTCTGCCTATTGACTTTTGAGCCACAGATCAAGGCTCGTGCTGAGTCTCTTCCTCCTGGGAGCCTGCCGGGATAGCCTGTGAATTCCTGAGCATTGTGCCTGACCCCCTCCTTCGGGTCCTGCCCAGCTTCTGTGCCGAGACTCCCCTCCTGGGTCCTACTTCACCCAGCAACCAGAGCTCATCATGACTCCCAAGCCCCCTGGGCCCGGCGGGAAGCGCTGATGACCCAGAACACAGCTGCCCTCTCCTGCTTCCAGGCCTTGGTTGTGGCCGGTGCCTCCGACCACATGTCCTCCCGTCCCGTGGCCGACTCACTTGGTCCTCCAGGGGTCCCCAGAGCCCCTGCTGCCTCTGGGAGGTCTCCGTGAGCGCCCCCGCCCCTTCCGTGCCCAGCCCCTGTCTGCTGCCAGCTTGTGGGAACCAGCAGGGCTGGCTGAATGTGCTGCCCCGGGGCTTGGCCCACATCAGCCCCATCCTGTCTTGGTTCAGGGCCTGGGAACGACACCCGTGGTCCTGAGGGGACCCTGGTGTCTGTGACCCGTAGCCCCAGGGGGATGGACACCCGCCTGACCTGGGTCTTGCTAAGTGAGCCGCCAGGTGAGGCCCGTGCTCCTGCCTGTGGGGCCGTCTCTCCTGGTGCTGACAGCGTCTGGGCCTCGTGGCTCCAGCACCCGTGGCCGCTCTCGCTCCTCACGACGCCTGGTGCCAGCCTCCCCGCTCCCTCCTGGCGCAGCGGGCCCGCCTGCCCCGGAAACGCGGCTCTCCCCGCGGTCTGGACTCTCGTCCTCACCCCCTCTACCCACCCAGGCGACCAGGGTCCCCGGAGAGGCCGGGACTCTGGGCTCCCCAGCCCTGCAAGAAAGTGATCGGGCCTCAGAGGCCAGGCTCCCGCCGACCCCGTTCCCCTCCCTGGCCCCTCCCAGGTTGGAGGCCGCCACCCTAAGGTCCTACCTGAGCCTGTCGCTTCCCTCAGAACTTTCCCTGGTGCTCATCCAGCCAAGCCGTCCATCGTGTCACCTACCCCTGCCAACCGAGGGGCCACTGCCCTGACACCCAGCCCCGCTCATGCTCCAACCACGGGCTCCTTCGCTGGTCATTCGGGAAGCGTCTCCCCGGCCCGTGTGTGCGGGCCCTGAGCTGAGTGTCCCCTGACTGCGACAGATCCCAAACCCGGCCACCCGCCACAGCCAGGCCTGGTCACGTCCAAGATGCCCTCACCGCTGCCCCCACCCTACGGTACCAGCAACATCGCCACGTCGCCGCCACGTCGCCGCCACGCTATTTCCAGCCACGCTGTCCATGTGCATGGGGCCGCCGCCGCCGTGGGGCACGAGAATGACGTCATCATACGGCCACCGGGGCCATCGCCACCGCCAGCAGCAGCACCGAAGCCATGGATGCCACCGTATCTGTCCCCTCCGCAACAGCGTCAGTCCTGCCACACCCGCGACCGCCGGCCGTCCAGCCCTCATGGCCACCGTCACCACCTGCCGCCCACACCCGCGCCACCAAGAGCGCACTCGTCACCACCACGGTCACCGCCGCGGCTTTGGCCGCACGGTCCCCGGTGTCACCTCCACCGTTAGCATCACCATCACGCCCGCCATCACCGCCTCAGAACCAGCCGCACGACCAAGACGGACGCTGGCTCGCAACCCCTGTCACCGACACGCAACGGTGTCTCCTCGGCACCCGCCACATCCGGGGCGCTGCGGAGGCGGAACCCTCACGTCCCGCCAGCCAGGACAGAGCGCACAGGCGGCCGCACCACTGCCGTGGCCAACCCCGGACCCCACGCCGTCGCCCTGGCCTGTCCCTGACCCCACCTTCCAGGGAATCACCTGACTCCCAACGGCCCGTGATTCAGGCCACCTCACGGCCATCCCACCACCCCCACTTCTAAGGGCCTCTGCAGCGAGGCGTAGAAAGGAGGGCGGATAGCCACGGCCCCTGGCCGACCACCTGGGCGTCCTTCCCTGGCCTGCCCCGCATGTGGCCGGCCCACGGGCAGGCGAGCAGCCAGTCACCGCCCCCCCCAGGGCCACCAGCAGGGGCATGAGGCTGGGGCCACCCGGGAAGTGGGACTAAGACCTTTCTGCCACAGAAAACGAACAGTTGCGCCCTGGCAGAGGGAAGCAAGTGTCTCACGGGAGGAAGATCACCTCCCAAGTCCACCCCATGGCACGGACGCCTGCCTCAGTTCCTTTGCACGTGCTGCACCGGGGCCCAGAGAGCCTCTGCCACCCGCCTCCGGGTTTTGCACCCAGCCCAGGAGCCCCCTACCGGGCAGCCTGTCCCCCACCGCTTTGGCCCCCCCCCCCGGCCCCCCCCCCCCGAGGGCACGTGCTGTCCCCACAGGGCACCATGCCAGCTAGTGACACAAGCCCCCTGGAGTAGGGTAAGGATGGCACCTACTCACCGGTTATTTCCCAGCCCCACAATCTGTGCTCGACACACATCACCTCGCTTCAGAACTGTAGCAACCCGTTTACAGATGTGGAAACTGAGGCTCAAGGAGACGACAGGCTCGTCCACGGCGACCCCATTAGTAAGAAATGGGGCCGAGATCTGAGTCCAGGCTGCGGCAGATCAGACGCCTGCCCCTGCCCCCCATTAGCTGCTGTGTCGTGGTAGGACCCTGGTGGGCTCCCCAGACACGTGGGCGTGGGCGTGGACAGGGACAGATGCCCACGCAGGGCAGCCGGTGGTGTGGGTGGGCCTGGGAGGCCGTGGAGAGCGGGGCTCCCAGGAGGAGGAAGGAGACTGGGCTCCAGCGGGAGGCGGCAGGATGGGGTCTGGGCAGCGGGCAGCCCCCAACCCTGACCTCTCCTCCGGGGAGGATGATGTGGGGCCACAGGGCTAGTGGGGTGAGCCTCACTGTGAATGCAGAGTCTCGGCAGGGCACGCGTGGAGGGACAGAGGGACGGATGAACAGAGCCCCGCTAGGAGCACCCTAGAGCAACTGTGTGCTCGTCAGGCCCAGGCCCTCCCCAGAGCCCCCTGCTCTGTCCCCACACGCACCCCTTCCTGCGTGTGCCACCATGGCCCCACGAGGCAGCTCCCCTTTCACCCCGAGGCACCCACCCCTCCAGCCCAGGGTCCTAGCACCAGCACGGCTTCCTGTGGGCCCACCCCCTCCTCCCCGAGGGTGACTCCGAGCCCCTTTTCCTCACTCCCCACCTGCCCCCAAGGCAGGGCCTGGCACGGGCTCACGGAGCAGGGCCTGTGGGGTGGGGGTGCTGAGGGAAACGGCCCCGCCTGGTCCCAGGCCCCTCTTCCAAGGCCTCTGGCTGCTCGGTCACGTGACCAGGGACAGGCAAGGTGGTTGACTCAATCTGCACCCACAGCTGCCCTATCTCCCGCCCCTACGGGCCTCCCACCCCAGCCAGCCACGTGCTACCCAGTGTGACCCCACTTTACCAGGCAGATCCCATGAGCCCCGGGGCCTGCCCTCCCTGACTTGCCACCTTGGCCCCCCTCCCCTTCGCTACGCTCACCGGGCCGCCTGCGGGTGTGGAGACGCTAGACGACGGACCACAAAGGGGGACCCGGTCACAGCTGGACACAGCCCAGCAGGAGGCTCGCGGGCCCTGACCCTTCTTCCAGGAAAGGCCCCCACCCCCAGATGCCCCCTCCACGCCAACGCCCGCGGGTCCTCGAGCACGTGTCTGCCACCCCCACGGTGCCCCCGGCGGGTTCCGCGCCTTCCCCTGCGGAAGTCCCTCTCCAGACACGCCCCACCAGCACTGTCACAGGCCGGGCAGCAGCTGGCAGTGCTTTCCCTAGCAGGGAAAGGAAGGAGAACAGGGGAGGGGGCTGGGGGAGGGGGCGGGCCGGGGGAGGGCTGGGGCCGGGGCCGGCTCTGGGCCTTCGCTGGCAGTTTCCACCCTCTGCCGTCGCCTGGGAGGCGCCTGGTGGGGGCTGGGGGCTGGTGGGTGCTCATCTTGTCCGTTGCACGGTCAAGGCAACTGAGGCCGGGGCTTGCGTGGCCAGTGTGAGCAGAGCCAGGGATTCCCGAGCTGGAGGGAGGGGCCGTCCTGACCAGCCAGCCGTGGCTATTGGACCCCCACAGACCCCCAGTCGTTGGGACAAGCAGGTCCAAGAGGACCCCCAGTGGGGACAACTTGGAGCCGTGTAAGGGCAAGCTCAGGTCCTTTGACCCTGCCCTCCCGGGAGGGCCCTTCTCACCCCATATGTGAGAGTGGGATGGGGGTAGGCTCACCCGGGTGGATATCCTATTGGGTGGGTGCTACGGGGGCACCTTGATGGCAGGACATTGTCACCGAAGTCAGACCACGCTGGGCAGATTGGATGCAGGAAAGATGTGTTCAGGGAATGAATGAGTGAATGAATGAATGAATGAATGGACAAATTTTCAGTCCCCTGAGGATGAGGGGACCCCCCCTCAATGGGGCACATGCCAGCAGCCTCCTCTGTTCACCTCCTGAGGATCCCTGGCAGGGGAAACTCTTGGGCAGCAGAGGAGACCCTGCCTGGGGCGGGGCCCACATCCTGCAGGGGGAGAGGCAACCAGGAAGCGGGAGCTCAGACACCCTCGGACTTGCTGCTAAATGGGGTCTGAGCTGGGAAGTGGTGGACAGGAGTGCGGGTGTAGGAAAATGGGCGGGAAGGTCTCTGAGCCTCTCAGAGCAGGCGGCGTTTGAGGCAAGAGCAGAGCTGGGCACAGATGGGCCGAGAGTCCCGGCCGCCCCGAGGCGGGGGGGGGGGGCCGTGAGGGGGCCCGTGGGGTGCAGAGCAGTGGCTGGGGCAGCCGGGCTGTGAGCCGGGGTGCAGGACACAGGAGCTGTTGGTGGGCCACGACCTGGGGACCTGTCCGCCCCCTCCAGCTCCCGGCCCTGCAAGGAGACTCAGCAGCCCCTTCGGGAGAGGGCAGGCCCACAGGAGGGCCCCGCCAGCCCCCTACCCCCCAAGAACAAAGTCAGGGGAGACTCAGAGGAGGGAAGGGCACTGGGGAAGGGGCTGGGCAGAGTCCAGGGCTGCGGAGGGTGGGTGGTTTCGCCATCCCCTCCCATCTCCCCCCTGCCTGCCTCCTCTGCTCCCATCAGAAACCAGCCTTCGTGGGAGGAATCCATCTGGGAACCAGCCGCTGACAACGACCCGGGGGCCCTGCCAACTCTCCCTTCCGCTCGCCCCCCCCCCCCCCCCCGCGGCCTGCCCCTCACTGCTCTCTCCAAGGAAACCAAGGATGGGGGCAAGGCTCTTAAAGGGACCAGGACACACACAGGTGCAGGGACCCCAGGGAAGGGGCCGGGCCCCGGGGCCTGAGTATCCCTGTGTGGCAGGGCCGGGGAGGGGCTGGGGGTGGGGGCTGCAGCACAGACCGGCATGGGCCGAGGGGGGGCCCCCGCTTGTCAGACAGCACCCTGGGTCTGCCTCCCCGGCAGACCGAGAGCTTGTGTGCGCAAACGAGGCACATCGGAAGAGCCTGCAGTGGGGTCAGGCTTTCAGACAGGAGCCCCACGGAGCGTGCAGGACGCCGGCCTCTCGGCCAGCCTGTCCCAGTGTCCGCCGTGCCGGCTCAGGTGGCACAGAGTAAGGGTGCCAAGAGCCACCGCACGAGGGAACCCCCAACCCGGTGGGATTCCCAGAGCCTCCACGGCCGATGTGAGCGTGGGTCCCGGAGCTGGGGACGCAGTGGGGGTGGCACCCGGCCCTTCCCGGGGCCCCTGCGTGGCAGGCCCCCTGCAGACACCCCCAAACGCTGGCGTCGCAGGAGGAGCCCTCTCGGAGAGCCCCTGCCCCCGGCCGGCACGCTGGGCCTCAGCGTACCACAAGCAGGTCAGGGCAAAGCCCACGTTCTCCGAGGATCCCACCAGCTCTGACTCTCCCGCTCTAAGTCAGCGACGGCCGAGGAGGACAGCAGAGGCTGGCTCAGGAGCACAGGGCCCAGGGCCCAGGAGGTGCTCCGGGCCTTCGCGAGCCCCCATCACCCCCCGGCCCGCCCATCCCGCGCTCATCAGAGTCCTGAACGGAGCTCTGCGAGAACCCCTCTCTCTCCCTAACACCCCCACTCCGCAGGCCCTCGCTGCTGCCGGGGCCGGGCCGGCGGAGGGCTGTGGGGGACGGCCCTGAGCCACGCTGCCGGCTGAGGTCCCGGAGCGGGCGATCGGGGTCTTTGGCGGGGAGGGCGGGATTCGGCCACATGACTGGGGCTGCTGGGGCAAGGGGGACTCCAGGGGTCGGTCAGGGCCCATGTTTACAGAGACGTCAGGCGTGGGCGTCGAGCCTTCGTGTGGAAGTGTGTGTAGCTGGGGGCGAGGCAGGTGGAGCGTCTGTACTGTGGGTGGAACCCTCTGACTCATTTTTTCTAAGACAAGCGAGTCACATGGTCAACTGTCGCATGTGTCTGGAGGAGGCGGTGGCCCTGCAAGCATATGACACACGTTTCGTTATATGTGCGCAGGCACGAGTGATTTCAGATAAGACACAGGGGCAGGACTCAGAGCGACCAGGGTCAGGGCTCAGCACGCGAGCAGGGTCAGGGCTCAGAGGGTGACCAGAATCAGGGCCTGGAGTGTGACCAGGGATCGGGGCTCAGAGTGTGACCAGGGTCAGGGCTCAGAGGGTGACCAGGGGTCAGGGTTCAGGATGAGCAGGGTTAGGGCTCAGAGCGACCAGGGTCAGGGCTCAGCACGTGAGCAGGGTCAGGGCTCAGAGTGTGACCAGGGTCAAGGCTCAGTGTTTGATGAAAGTCAGGGCTCAGCAGGTGACCCGTGTTAAGGCTCCATCTGTGATCAGGGCAGAGCTCAGTCTTGGATCGAGAAATCACTCTCTCTCAGCTGTGGCCACTGGCTCCCTCTCCCCCAGGCCCCCACCCACAATCCTGCAGATGCCTGGCACTCTTTCTCATCCCGCCTGCACACGCAGGTCCACGCCAGCACAGACTCCATTCCTGGGCACACGGGTGGAAGCGGACCGGGGCCCCTGCCCCTGGACCGTGTATCGGGTCACCTAGGAAAACCTGGGCTCTCGCGAGCCCACTCACGTGGTGAGGAGCCGCCCACCCGGCCATGGAAGGAGAAGGTGTCTGGGGCAGAGCAGAGGGGGGCCCGGGGGACAGAGCCAGCTCCCTCCAACCCCCACCCCCCCAGCCTCTGACCCTGCCCCGTGGGCCCTGGCTGCCCAGTCCTGGATCAGACGCCTCAGCTCCCCACCCCGAGCCTTCAGCTGAGTCACAGGCCTCTAGGAGGCTCGGCTTCCTCAGAGGTGACAGGCACCGTCACCCAGGGCTCCCAGGGCCGTGCCCAGGACCAAACAGGGAGCCGTGTGCAAATGCCGTCCTTGGGGCCCTGGGCCCCCAGGCACAGATGTGATCCCGAGCATCCAGAGGTGACCAGGGATGGATGTTGGAGCAGTGGGCAGACCCCCCCCCCCCCCCCCCCACAGCTGAAGGAGGATGGGCAGGTGGAGTTCACGGCCAGAGGTGGGAAGTGGGGACCTGGCCACAGTACTCTCCCTGCTCCCACCCAGCTCCTACCTGTGAGCGGGCGGACTCTGGCCACAGGATGGGAAGCCGGGGCTCTGGGAGTGGGGGGTCTGCCCCAGGCCGCACAGCCACACGGTCCTCCTTGGCTGCACGAGGGCCCCCGGGACAGTGAACTGGACACACTCTGGGCTGGCCTGACCTCCCACAGCCTGCTGTCCAGGAAGGGCGAAGGGGATGAATCCCACCAGTCTGGAAAGTAATTTACTTCCCAGAGCTTAAAACTGTCTGGGGACTGGACGCCAAGGAAACAATCAGAAATGCGGGTGCCGCTGTCCGAGAGAGTGTCGTGTTTGTCTGGAGAAAGCAGGAGGCCCCTCCAGCGGGTGTCAGTCAGGTGCCCCGGGGGGCTGCAGGTGGCCTCTCAACAGCCCCCGGGGAGCAGGATTCTAGCTGTGGGCAGGGGCCAGGCGCCATGGACTTGAAGTCACAGCACAACCCCACCGCCCGCAGACGTAAGGCTCTGGGGGCTGGTGGGGTGGGGGGCGCCGCAGGCCTGTGGGCCCCACCTCAGTCCAGTCAGACACAAGAGGCTGTGCTGCTTGTCAAACCCGGAGAAAAGCAGTGGGACAACGACCAGAGCCAGAGTGCCAACTCGCCAGGGCTGCAGGTGACCCAGCCCCCACTCAGGCCTGTCCCCACACCCCAGGCCCAGGGCAGGAAAGGCCGGTGACGTCTGCTGAGTGGCCCTGCACGCCCCCAGAGCAGAGACCTTGTGCGGCCTGTCCCTTTTGCCACAATGCCTCTCTCCAGACACCCACATGCACGTGCTGTGTCGGGCCTCTGCTCAAACATCATCTCCTCAGAGAGGCTTCCCCACCTGCCACCAGATCCATCTGGCTTTGCTCCTTGGCATGTGGCATGACCTGACATTTTCATAGGAATCTATACATTCCTGCTTTGTTGTCCGTCCTCGTTGGAGACAGGACAAGAGGACAAGGCTGAGGATACAGCAGTGTCTTCTCCATGGTCAGTAATCACTGGAGGATGGATGGGTGGATAGGTGGATGGATGGATGGATGGATGGATGGATGGATGGACAGGTGGATGGATGGATTGATAGGGTGGATGGGTGGATGGATGGATGGGGATAGATGGGTGGGTGGGTGGATGGATAGATAGATGGCAGTGGATGGATGGATGGATGGATGGGTAGATTGGGATGGATGGATGGATGGGGCTAGCTGGATGGGTGGGTGGATGGATGGATGGATGGATGGATGAATGGTGCATGGATTGATAGTGGTGGATGGATGGATGGGTGGATGGGTGGATGGATGGATGGGGATAGATGGGTGGGTGGGTGGGTGGGTAGATGGATAGATAGATGGCAGTGGATGGATGGATGGATGGATGGATGGTGGATGGATGGATGGATGGTGCAAGGATAGATGTATGGATGTATGGATGGATGGGTGGACGGATGGATGGGGCTAGATGGGTGGGTGGATGGGTGGATGGATGGATGGATGAATGGATGGGTGGATGGATGAATGGTGCATGGATGGATGGATGGATGGATTGATAGGGGTGGATGGATGGATGGATGGATGGATGGATGGACGATGACACCATCTCAACAACTTCCATCGTTCCTGACACAACCACTGCCACAAACTGGCACCCTGTCTGTTTTCCAGCCACCTGCTCTTCCTGGCCACACCTCACGTGCCACCTGTACCTTCCAAATTCCATGTTTTTGCTCAAGTTATGCTTCTGCGTCCCCTCCTCTGCCAGGCAAACCTGTCTTACTTTAGTGTCAGCTCCTCCGGGAGGCTCCCTGACCTCCCAGGACACACATTTCTCACCGCACCGCCCAGAGCACAAGGGATCACCGCACATACCCCCAGGCACAGGGGACCAGGCTGCACAGGCTCATGCTCCTGGCCGGCCTAGGGCAGGGGTGCAGGGGAGCCTAAGAGAAGGTGGTGCCAGGGCTGAGAGAGGCGGGTGGTGGCGGTGTCATCCAGCTTCCTGACCACACCCTCCCCAGCAGGGGAGGCCTAGCTGCCCCCAGGCTCACCTGGCCCACCGGGATCCGGCCACCAAGCTCTCTCCCGCACCATGTGCCCCCAGTTCTGACCCTCCTCTGGAGGCTGCTCCCTCTCTGGGGCCTTTGCACAAACTCTTCCCTGGGAGGGCTGGGAGGCGGGCTGGGGTGGGGGGCTCCAAGCTGCCTCAGAGCCAGACCTGGGCAGTGGGGGATCATTCAAGACAGACGGACAGGAGGACACGGCCTCCAACCTGAAACCGCAGCCCTATCCCGCCGCGCGGGCCCCCGGTCCCCCCGGGGGCCCCCCCCCCCCAAGGCCACAACGTCCACGTGAACTTACACATCTGTCTCGTCCCACAGGATACAGGTCTGGTTGGTGGTGCCCTGGGGGAGAGAGAGGAGTCAGGGTCATGTGCCCACCCTCCAGGCCCCACCCAAGGTTACTGCCGGGACCCACCCCCAGGCATGCTAGGCGGGTGCTGGGACTGTGCGATTGCCCCAAGAGGTGGAGTTTGAGGAGGAGGAAACTGAGGCCCAGAGTGGGGAAGGGACTAGCCCTCTCTGAGCAGCTCCCGGCAGCAATGGCTGCGGCCCGTCTCTGGGTGCCCAGGCGGCCAGCCCAGCTTAATACAAATGGTGGAAGAGGGAGACCCCTCCCCAGGGGCCCTGAGGGGTAAGCGAGCAGGAATGAGCAAACGCGCCTGTCCTGCAGGCCTGGCGTGCCAGCACTGGGACCACGGAGGTGAGAGCGGCAGGGTCCGGGGGCCCTCGTGAGGGGTGGTGCGCTCTAAGCACTGGTGGTAATTGCTCAGTTCTCAGCCAAGCCTCTAGCTCACATCTGATAAGGGAGAGAGCCCAGGCACAGAGAGGTTGAGCAACTTGCCCAAGGCCACACGGTGGGAAAGAGCAGGGCTACAGGAGAGGACTGAAATCTGTCTCCCACATAAGCTCGTTGTGTGAGCCTGGGCAAATCGCTATACGTCTCTGAGCTGCAGCTTCTCCTCCCTCGTTCGGGGATCAAAGCGGCTCTCCCGCGAGGCCGACGTGAGACCCAAGGAGGCCGTGGGATCCCCCTGGGATCAGGTGGGAGGAATCAGGGACGCGTACACAGACGTACACGCGTCAAGGGCACTCACGTTATACACGTGGGCAAACTCGATCTCCAAGGGCGTGAGCAGGGAGCGAGGCGGGGGCTTCACGGTCACCGAGATGACCTTGGAGTTCAGCACAGTCGTGTTCCTGGGGCAGAGCCAGCAGGCTGCATCAGCGAGCCTTCCCCGAGACCCAGGCCCACCCCGGAACGCCCCCCGCAGGCCCGCACCCCTCGCTCGGCCCCGTCCCTCCCAGGCTGGGCCCCCCACCTCTGCAGGGCCAGGAAGCTGCCCAGGTTTCTGTAGAGCACGGTGCCCACCACGAACACAGATGAGTCGTCAGCCTCTGGAAGAGGGCGCCGCGGTCACCTCTCCCGGCCGCCCCCGCCTGGACCTTGCTCCGGCTAGGGAAGTGTGTGTCCCCAGGCGGAGGCCTGGGCTCCTGGGTCATGTCCACCCCCATCACGCGCACAGCGCTGCAGTCGGAGAGCTGGGTGGCTGCCTAGGTCCCTCTAAGTGACCCCCGAGGGCTGGGGGGGGGGGGGGGAGGGGGGGGGCCCCCCCCCCCCCGCCCCCCACGGGCGCCCGGGCCCCCCCCCCCGCCCCCCCCCCCCCCCCCCCCCCCCGGGGCGGCGCCGCGCCGCGGGCGGTGAGTCTCCCGTGAGGACCCTTCCCGCAGCCTGGGGCCCCTCACCTGCCAGCCCCGTGGAGAAGACACTCTTGGACACGGTGACCCTGTCCTCCGGCACCTTGGCCCAGTCGCCCGTGGCCCGCCAGCCCTTCATGGGGAAGCTGATGTCTGTGGCTCCGCTGGCCGGGAGCTTGTGGATGCTGAGGACTGGGCGGAGGGGATGGCCAGAGACACGGGGACGGACGGACAGAGGCGGAGGGCAGTTACACGACAGGGGCCTCGGCCCTGGGGAGCTCCCGGCTCAGAGCGAGCACCAACGGGGGCAGCTTTCCCGCCTCGCCCGAGCCCTCAGACAGCCCCCCCCCCCCCCCCCGGGGGGCCCCCCCCCCCCGCCACTGTGAGGCCCCAGGCTTGGACGCGGCCCCCAGGGCCCCGGGAGGGGTCGAAGGCGGCTTGTGCAGTCAGGCCTGCAGCCATGAAGGGGTGCCGGGGGGCCGGGTCCCCTAGGGGGGGCCCCCCTTCCTCCCTGGGAGGCTGGAGCCCGGGCCACCTCCCTACGGGCTCTATAGAAGGGGTAGGAAGAGACCCCACCTCACAGGGCATCCCTGGGGGCTGCGCGGCACACCTGGGACGGGGGCGGGGGGGTCCCGGTGTCTCCAAGTCCCCTTCACCCCGGCCCACCGGTGTCGGGTGGACGCCCGCTCCCCTCACCCCGCACCCCGGGGCCGGGTCGGGGCCCGCGCGGAGCTGCCCTCGGCCGGTGTGGGGTGAAGGGGGAGGGCCTCCGGGGCCAACGGCCTCCGCCACGGTGCCCGGACGCTTGGGCCTTCACCCACCTCCGGGCCCGTCCCCCGACAGACACCCACCCCCGCGGCCAGTTCACACCTCTGTCCGTGCCTTTGTTCACATGGGGCCCCCTGCCCGCACGCCCGTGCCCCTCCAGGCCTGGCTACCTGCCTGGGCCCTCCTTCACCTGTGGGGCCAACTCTGGGGACCAGGGCGTCTTCCCTCTATGAGGACGTGGGGACAGATGGGGCCCACTCTCTGAGTGTGCAGTACACGGAGTATGGGGTGTGTAGGTATATTAGGTGCATGGGGGTTGGGGTGCGTAAGGTGTGTGGGCGTGTGGATATGAGGCGCGTGCGTGTGAGGCGCGTGGGTTGTGAGGCGCGTGGGGTGTGAGGCGCGTGCGTGTGAGGCGCATACGTGTGAGGCGCGTACGGGTGAGGCGTGTGGGGTGTGAGACGCGTAGGGGTGTGCAGGTGTGAGGTATGCAGGTGTGAGGCGTGAGGGGTGACGACGGGCACGGCTGCGGCTGCGAGCACAGCTCCTGATACCCCTCAGGCGGTCAGGGGCGCGGGGCCGCTTGCGTGAGGGCCACAGGGAGGCCGCCGGGCCCGTCCCCGTAGACGAGGGGACGCAGGCGGGAGGGCCGGGGCTCACCCAGGTTGTCTGTGACCTGGTACGCGTCCCGCAAGTCCTTCATGCGGAAGCCGATGACGTCCACGAAGTCCTCCACCAGCCGGAAGAGCTCCTTGGCGTTGGGGCCCATCTGGGGACCGGGGGGGGGGGTGGCGGGGGGCCCAGAGCAAAATGAGGGTGTCCCGGAACACCCCGCGCCCGGCCCGGGTCACACCCTCCCGTCCCTCCACTCCCGCATCGGTGGCCCCCTCTCCGGGGTCCCGGTGCTCCTTTCCCGGCACCCCAACGCTCCGGACCTGACTCTGGAAGCAGAGCGGGGCGTCTGAGCACCCAGCACCTCTGAGCACCGGCACCGTTCTGTGGAGCGGAACCCTGAGCCCGGGGGAGGGGGCTGCCGTGCTGGTGGGCAGGGGTCGAGCCCGCGGAGACCGGAGGGGTCCCTGGACACCCACGGCCTCCGCGCTGACTACTGTCCCGGGGTCAGTCCAGGAGGAAGGGAGGCTGACCCTGTCCCGGTGGCCCTGACTCGCGCCACAAGGCCCACACGTTTTCCCACGCCCGCCACCGAGCCCACGAGGTGAGCTACCGTCCCCTGGCGGATGGGGAGACAGAAGCTGGGCGGGAATCAGATTCCTCAGAGTCACGCCGGTGCAGAGGCCGTGCTGGGACGGGAACCCAGGCCACCACCCTCCGCCCCACTAGCCCGGGCCCCAGGGAGGGAGGAGACACGCCCGTGCCCACCCTGCTGCCGTGACCGCGGGGCCCAGACTGGCATCCGTACCAGCTGGGCCTCCTCCCACTTGTCCCGGTTCTCCTCTGCCAGCAGGTTGCTGATGATCTGCACAAAGTTCTGGAAAGAAGAGGAAGAAGGACCAGTGAGCCGAGAAAAAGCGCCAGAATGTGGCTCGGCGCGCGAGTGGGGTCGGGGCTCTGCAGGGGGCCAGGTCGGGGCCCACTCCCCCTTCGTCCTCCCCGGGGCTGCCCTCGGGGGCCCCACCTGCGCATCCCCGGGGGTGGGGCTATAGTACGCCCTCCGGAAGATCTCCGTCATGTTCCTCAGGACGTCGATGGTGGAGAGGAGGTCCCCGCTGTAGCTGGTCCCGTCCTGGGAGATCTCCACCAGTGTCTGGATGACCTCGGAGACCCCCTCCCCGGGCAGCCCACGCTGAGCCTTCGCCAGGTGCTCCCGGGTCTGGGGAGATGGAGGGCGGGTGCCGCGAGTCTGCAGGATCCGCCCGGGGCAGGTACCGAGGACCCCCACGCCCGGGCCCTCTGCAGCCCCCAGCCCGTGGCCCCAGCTGACTCGCGTCCGCGGGGAAGCCACGGGGGCCACGGGGCCACGTCTGGGGTTAAAGGGCAGCGGAGTGCCGGCCAGGGCAGGAGACCCCAGCGGCCACCCTCACCATCATCTGGATGTTCCGGTAGTCGATGGAGACACAGCGGATGTAGGTGGGGGGCTCCCAGTAGGCGATGCCTTCCTCGTCCAGCTCACAGCGTCGCAGGATGAGGCCTGGAGAGAAGTGGGTCATCTCTGCCTCCGGTGCAGGGGTCCCACCCGTGGCCCCCCGGCACACGCCCCTCCCGCCCCGGAAGCAGGGACTCGCCCACGGCCTTCCACGGAGAGCAGGGCCAGCACGAGGCCCGGCCTCCCTGTTCCTTTCCTTCCACACAGGTAGCAGTGGCTCCTGAAGTCAGGTGCCCGGGACCCCACGTGCACGGGGCGGAGCGGGGGGGGGGGGGCTCTCCTGCAGTCCCCCCAACCCAGAGCCCCCGGAGAGCCAACGGCCTGGGTCCCTGCCCAGCATCACCCACAGAGCACTAGAGGCCTCGGAAGGCCCTGACGGCCCATCGACACTGAGGGGGCACCTGGCATCAGTTGTGACCCAGAACTTACTCCCAGGAAGCGGCCAGGGACCTGGGCATGGCTGCGTGTCCAACAGTGATGGCCCCAAAGAACTGTCACGACCCTGTCACTTGGCAGGAGCCACTGGGTGGGAAGGGGGCCCCATCCCACAGCGTGGTGCGGGATCACTAGCGGGAACAAGGTCATGGGGGCAGGCAAAAGGCCAGAGGTCACACCCCTGGGACCTGTATTTTCTTTGCTTCTGTGAATTTGCAATAGGCTACCAGGAACGTGCAAACAAAGCAGGAATGGGACCCCACCGTCGCCTCCACCGCTGTCCCCACCCCGTGTGGACCCCTCTACCGCTCGCTTATGACAGCCCTGTAGGGAGAGCCCCAAACACCCTCCTCTTGTAGAGAGAAAAGGGAGGCTCAGAGAGGTCACAGCACTTCCTAAACATCACACAGCACATAAGGGTGCGCAAAGTGCCGCGCTCCTTCAAACAAGAGGGGAAAGACCGCCAACCCCTCAGGGCACTAAGCCCCTTCCCCTAGGAGCACACCCTGCTTTTCCACACACACCCCCAAACCCTCCACAAGAACGCATGGGGGTTAAGGCTGCTGGCTTCCCACGTATTGGCCCAGCAAGCCCAGGGCAAGTGTGGTAACTTCTTTGCGCCTCAGTTTCCCACCCATAACTGGGCACCTTCGAGGGGCACGATGCACAGTGGGTGCAGGTGCCGTCTCTGGGTGAGCGCTCAGGACACCGCAGCCGGCGGCGTGGCTCCTGGCTGGGCCGTCCTGGCTTCCGTGTGCCAATGGAGCTGCCTGGGCACGGCCTGCAGGGGCCTCTCAGGGCCTCGCGTGTTATCTCTGAGGGTGGGACGGGAGTCCCTCACCTGTGGCATTGCGGGGACACCGGACCGCGGCCACCTCTCCTGCCGGAGTCTCCTTCCAGATCACGGTGCCGAAGTTGTCCTCGTCACAGATCTCGTGGGGTTCTGCCAGGGGCCGGAGGCAGTGGGTGCGGGAGGGCGCGGGGAGGGGGGCCGTGAGCAGGCAGCAGGCTCGCGGAGGGGGAGACCCCTCCGGAACATCTGCCGTCCGGGGTTGTTCCCGGCAAAGCGAAGCCCCAAGCCCACCCAGTCGCCGGGGTGCCCCTCCCCCAGAGCCCCGCCGCAGGGCAGGAGGATCCTCACCAGGGCACCGCTGGGCACTGCACTGCCGGTACTCATCCTGCGGGCCCTGGCACGCTGCTCCCCCGAAGAACGGACCGGAGCAGAGGCGCTCCCTTCGCTGCGTGCCGCCCCCACACGTCACGCTGCAGCCGCCCCACGATGCCCAGGTCTGCCACTTCCCATCCACTGCGGGGCACGGCCAGGCATGAGGGCACACAGATGGCGACCAGGCGGGGACAGGTCCAGGAGTCACGGGGAACCAGGGGTCCAGCAGCAGGAAGCCATGAGGAGAAGAGACATGGAGACCGAGGGAGCGGAACCGGAGCTCAGCTTGGCGCAGAGGAACACAAGCGCCTCCCGTGTACCAGTCCCCACGGCCACCTCCGTGTCCCACGGACCCCCACACCCCCGTGGCTCATGCCCTTCAGGCCCCCCACCCGCAGGCCCCGGGGCGGGACCCTGACCTGGGCACTGCTGCAGGAAGCAGTCTCGAGTCTCCACCCAGTGGCCCTGGCACTCGGCGCCCCCGTAGGAAGGCCCATTGCACTCCCGGGTGCGCTGCTGCCGGCCCTGGGAGCAGCTGGCAGAGCAGGTGCTCCAGCTTGACCACTCGTTCCAGTTTCCGTCCACTGCCCGGCCCGGGGGAGGAAGGGGACAGGAAGCCAGCGTGAATACCCAGGGCCCCACGTCCAGCCTGGGCCGCAGGTGTGACTCCGGGGGCCCGCCCGCCACCCCACCGCCCAGCCTGGGCCACGGGTAAGAATGCGCCCGTGGTCTCACCCCACACCAAGCCTGGGGCACAAGTGTGAACACCCCTAGGGGTCTACCACTCCACCACGCATTCTGGGTCATAGGTGTGAACACCTCTGGGGCCCACCACACCGTCATGAAGCCTGGAGCATGAGCGTGACCACCGGGGTGGGGGCGGGGGGGGACACCATCCCAACGCCCGTGACACGTGAGTGAGAATCCCCTAGGGTCTCCAACCTCTAAGCAACCCAGCGAGCTGGCCTTGGACTCCCGTGACCGGCCCTGTGACCTGCGCCAGTAGTCCAATGGGCCCTTCCCCACTTCCTTTTCTCCGCTGCCCAGCCCCCCCACCCCCCGCCCAGCTCCCCCTTCTCTCACCTACCAGGACACAGGGCAATGTTGCAGAACTTGGTTTGCTTCTCAGGGCCCTCACAGGGGTTGCCTCCAAACTGGGGGGGCCGGCAGGTGCGCGTCCGGTCCCGGAAGCCGCGGCCGCAGGTGCTGGAGCAGAGGCTCCAAGGCGACCACTCATCCCAGGCGCCGTGCACTGCGGAGGGGACCGGAGGGCGCCCGCCGCTGGGCTCAGCAGCCCCGGGTGGGACGCGGCTGCCCCGCCGCCCCGCCCCCTCCCAGCTGCTCCACCTCCCCTCCCCGCCGCCGCCCCGCCCCCTCCCAGCTGCTCCTCCCCCCCGCCCCGCCTCCTCCCCGCCCCTCCCAGCTGCTCCTCCCCCCGCCGCCCCACCACCCCGCCGCCCCGCCCC